TTCAAGGTAAAGACATTTTTGAAATTTCTTTTTTGTAATTTTGGAACAATAAATAACACCAACTCATCTTCCACTACCTCTAATATATCAAATAATAATGAACGACCTCGAATTATTCATTCTCAATCATTTTCTAATATACTATATAATACCGCTGACCCTAAACAACCATCTCGCAATATTTGTTCTCAATCGGTTTTTTATGATATCTCTAATCCTTAACAAACACCTCATACTTTTCATTTTCAACCATCTCATAATTTTTGTCTTTCTCAACAAACATCTACTAACGCTAACTTTCAAAAACAATCTCATAATACTTATTATTGCGACGATTATAATTCATCGGATTCAATGGAAAGTATTTTAAGCGTGCAAAGCATTTACTCTAAAATGAGTAGAAGAAATCGACAACAACAATCTCGTCAACCATCTCAACAACCATCTCAACAACAATCTCGCCAACCAACTCAACAACAATCTCATCAACTATCTCGTCAACCATCTCAACAACTATCTCAACAACCATCTCATCAACAATCTCGTCAACCTTCTCAAGCACGCCCACCTTCTCATTATGAATCTTAGTCTCGTTGTTCATCACCGGATAATGATATAAATCTTTCTTCACCACAGCATTTACCTGATCCAGAACCTAAAGGAAGATCATGTGGAATATCAACCAATCAAGATGCACCACATAATCAAGATGCATCACACAATCGTGATGGTAATAATATAAGGCTTTTTTTTTTTTTTTTTTCTCTTTTGAATAGATAGCTTTTTCTTTTTTTTTTTTTAAAGAGAACCTTTTTTTTTTTCTTTTTTTATAAAACAAAAAAAAAAAAACATGACCGTCGCTTCATTTTTTTTTTTTTTTTATTAATAAAAACTTTTTTTTTTTTATTAAACCAAAAAAAAAAAAAAAAACCACCGCCACAACTGCTACTACAGGGAATTCGAGCAGCTCTATGCTCAGAATCAATAGCTGTACTTATTGTTTAAACAGCTCAACGAGAATTATAAAGAAATAAAGAACGAATTAAAGAGAAGATGAGATGATGAAGAAACCGAACTCTCTCCCCAAGTGATGGATATAAGTGATTTTCTTTTCGAATATGTTTTTTTTTTATATTGAATATGCTTATTGCAATGTTTTTTTTTTATTTTAAAGGGAGTATATAATGGCATTGTAAAACGTTTATTTCCGGCCCATGTTTACCCAAGCCAAAGTGTTCTTACAAAATGCATTATTAATACCTTTTCAAACTGGGATTCAAAAAAATTGTTGTAAAGGTGTATCCACTAATGCTTTTCCTCTCTCTGTCTGAAATTATCACATAAGTTTCCAACCAAGATTCAAAAAAGTCAGCTATGTTCTTGCAAGGTGCATTTACTACATCCACTGATTCTTTTCCTCTATCTGATCTAACCATAAGTATGCTAATAAAGATTTTAGTAAAGCAGCAAAATCCAAACCCGCAATAATACAGAAAATAACAATATCTAGAATAGCAAAATTACAATATTCTAATAACATAGTATGTGGAACTACTATTGACGAAATCACATTCACAAGGACATCTAAATGACAAGCTTATCCAAGGCTCTAATAACTCAAAACAGAATGATCTCAAAACTAGCTACTCTAGCAGCAATGACAACTATAATAGCAACACTAGTGACAGCATACTAATTAAATAAATAAATAAAAATTAGTAAGGCAAAAAAAAAAAACAATTATTAAAAAAAAAAACTTATCTACTCAGATCTGGTATGGCAATGCAAGATAAGATTTTTCGACTTTGCATTGGCAATCAGATTAACACATGAGCTTTAGTAATGTGATTTTCTTGTTCTTTGATTAGTTACAAAGGCCAGAGATATATAAACTATATATCTCTGGTTAGAGATGCCTAGAAAAACCCAATAAGAAATGTTAATACATCACCAAAATTTGCAAGGGGATTGCTATCGATTTTAATCAGTTATTTGATAGTACTCATTTTAAATCCCAACTATCGAGAACTATCGATTTAGATAGTAATCGATATAAATCGATATATATCAGGTTAAAAATTCCGAATAGTATCGATTAATAACG